GGGGGAGCCGAGGGGAACCCGAGAGGAGCCGAGAGGAGCCGAGAGGAGCCGAGAGGAGCCGAGAGGAAGGCGAGAGGACCCGAGAGGAGCCGAGAGGAGCCGAGAGGAGCCGAGAGGAGGCGAGAGGAGGCGAGAGGAGCCGAGAGGAGCCGAGAGGAGCCGAGAGGAGCCGAGAGGAGCCGAGAGGAGCCGAGAGGAGCCGAGAGGAGCCGAGAGGAGCCGAGAGGAGCCGAGAGGAGCCGAGAGGAGCCGAGAGGAGGCGAGAGGAGCCGAGAGGAGCCGAGAGGAGGCGAGAGGAGGCGAGGGGAGCGGAGAGGAGCGGAGGGGAGCGGAGAGGAGCAGAGATGAGCCGAGGGGAGCCGAGGGGAGCGGAGAGGAACCGAGATGAGGCAAGATGAGCCGAGGGGAGCGGAGAGGAGCGGAGATGAGGCGAGATGAGCCGAGATGAGGCGAGAGGAGGCGAGAGGAGGCGAGAGGAGGCGAGAGGAGCGGAGAGGAGCCGAGATGAGCCGAGAGGAGCGGAGAGGAGCGGAGGGGAGCGGAGAGGAGAGGAGCCGCGAGGAGCCGAGAGGAGGCAAGATGAGCCGAGGGGAGCCGAGGGGAGCCGAGAGGAGGCAAGAGGAGCCGAGGGGAGGCGAGGGGAGGCGAGAGGAGGCGAGGGGAGCCGAGAGGAGGCAAGAGGAGCCGAGAGGAGCGGAGGGGAGCCGAGAGGAGCCGAGGTGATTCCGTCCTGATTCCGTCCTGATTCCGTCCTAGGCAACATCGTCGGCTGCCGCTGGGACGCAGAGCAAGGACGGCTGACTCCGTTCGGCTCGTCGCCCCGCGCCCATCCCGTCGCGTGAGCGGCTGGACGGCGTCTCTTCACGGCGGTGTCGCTGTGAACAGGCTCTTACTACACCCTCCCCGACGGCGTTTCGCCGTGGCCGTGCCCACCACTCCGAGGAAGGCTCTAAGAAGGCTCTAGGAAGGTTCTAGGAAGGTTCTAGGCGTCTCGCCGTGCCGCGCCCACCACTCCGGCGGGTCACATGTGCTCGTTTCTGCGGACGGGCGAGAGGTAGCCGAGAGGCAGCCGAGAGTCAGCCGAGAGGCGGCCGAGAGGGAGCCGAGAGGGAGCCGAGAGGCAGCCGAGACGTAGCCGAGAGGTAGCCGAGATGAGCACATGCTACCTTGTAGAACTAGAACCTTCCTGAATGCCCCCCCCCGAACTTGCCCAGGCGGTGCCTGTACGCAACGACGCGCACCGACGGCGCCGTCGTCGCCTTCGACATCGACACCGCCACGGGCGAGCCTCGCCCGCAAGCAGCCCACCTCGGCGAATCTCGGACAACCTCGGACAACCTCGGGCAACCTCGGGCAACTTCGGGCAACCTCGGGCAACCTCGGGCGATCTCGGGCAATCTCGGGCAATCTCGTCAGGCGAGCTCGCTTTCAAGCAGCGCGTGCCGTGCGGCGGCGTCTGCCCGCGCAGTTTTGTGCTCGACTACGCGTCGCCCGGCGGCCCGCTCCTCCTCGTGGGCAACCAGGTGGAGCGAGATCGCCCGAGATCGCCCGAGATCGAGATCACCCGAGATCGAGATGACCCGAGAGTGCTCGTGTCTCCTGGCGCCCCGCCCGCCTCCCCTCCTCTCCGCGTTTGGGGAACCAGGACCGCCAGCACACACACACACATACACCTCACCCGCGCGGGCTGGGCCTTGCTCGTCCGATGCCGCTCGTCCAACGCCGCCGGGCTCCTGTCTGTGGACGAGGAGGCCTTGTGTGTGCGGAGGCGTTGACCTTACCCTGCCTTGCCTCACCAGGACAGCCAGAACGTGGCCAGCTTCAGCGTCGCCACCGACGGCACCCTCTCCCTCCGGTCCATCGAGGAGCTCGACGGCGTTTGCCCTAACGTGCTCACCGCGCCGGCTTAAGAGCGCGCAAAGAGGAAGAGCTTCTCCGCACGCAGAGGAGAGACCGCTGAGTACGTA